GAATGGGGTGTTTGGAATTGATTTTGCTTATGCTTCTTATTTTGAAACAAAAAATAATCAGGATTAGTTTTTCAGAATCTGATCTTTCTCAACTTCTAAAAAACTGCTTCTTAGGATGTTTTTACTTGGACTGTAATTTTCCCCAGACCAGACCAGACCAATCCAGATCAGACCAGACCAGTTCAGATCAGACCAGACTTGGATAGTTATAAAAATACAAAGAAATCAGACCTTACCAGACCAGACCAGACCAAATCAGACCAGACCAGCAAATTACAGTCCAAGTAAAAACATCCTTAGAATAATTTGGAGCATCAGAAGTATTTCTGCAATTTCACTCAAATATCTTTTTTTTGTAGAAGGAGCAGTAACAATTTTAAAATAGATCCAAACACTTGAGAACATATATCCACAAAATAATGAACACGACAAATATGAGGTTTAACTCTACGAGCATGGTGTAACCAAAAAAAGAAACTCTAGTCAAATGCGCTCGCTAGTCACTAGTCAAATTGCTGACTATCCACGCAAGTTCATTTAACCTAAAAATCACAAGAGCATATCGAAAAAGGTGAGTGGTGCCGTGCTCCATAATTAAGTAAGGATGTTTTTTTATTAAAGGCTAAAGGGTCAAATAGGTACATGAACTAAGTTAAAGTGTTCAATTAACTCCTTATATAGGAGGTTCTGCCCGGTCGTCGCCAATTGGGGCAGTTCCCAGTTGAATTTTTTGATGAATTTTTTTGAGCATCTTCTTCATTAAGTCTAGTTTACTCATATCAAATTTCAGCTAAAAATTAAATCGGGAAGACAGTCAATTGATTTTCCAGAATGTACTGCGCTGTTTAACTGCGCAATTATCTTCAAAAAATCATTTGACTGCCTTCTTGGTTGAATTTTTAGCTGAAATTTGGTATGAGTAAACTAGACTTAATGAAGAAGTTGCTCAATTGGCGACGGCCGGGCAGAACCTCCTATATAAGGGCTAATTGAACACTTTAAGTTAGTTCATGTACCTATTTGACCCTTTAGCCTTTATTAAAATAGTCAGTTCTAGACAAGATCCAATTGAGTAAAATCAAATCGTATAAGTTTTAAATATTCCCCGTCTTTTGAAACTTTATATCTTTTTGTTTGTTTCTGCTTTCGGTTAATTCTTTCTCCTCAACACAAATCTTAATCACAAAAATTTACTTTATTACTTTCCATGCTGGTAAAAGGTGATCAAATTTTAAAGACGAATGGAGTACATGAGAACTAATATATCAGACTTTGATTATTGTAAAATAAAAATAAAAACAAGCATCAATCAAACCAGACTTATACAGATAAAAACACATTATATCAGAAAAATTCAGTCCAATTAAGACATTCTAAGGTATAGTATTTACACGTGTTTGATTGGTCGAAGTCATTATTCATCATTTATTAATATTGAAGTTGTCCAATTATAATATTTTAATTAGTCCATAGAATTGATATATAATAATGCCTACTAGCAAAATGCGATTTTCACTTTGTGTTGACTTAGTAGTTGAAACTAATACTTGTAATTAACATTAATATATATAAAACCAATTTTAATATGAATGAAGTTGATCTCATTGGGTTGGCCTCTTATCGATAGGGTCACTGTGGTCACAGCGGTTACTGTGACATTGGTCACTGCGGGACGGAATCATTGTTGCATTGGTCATTGTACCCATTGTTGACTGTAGCGAGTCAACTAGGAGCTCGTTTGATAATACTCAAATTGGTTGTATTGACTCATTCTGCTGAAATTTATGAAGTTTTGAATGAAGTGGTTGCATTGACTGATTCTGTTGGTTTTTGAAAAAATTATATTTAAATATATTTTATTAATTAAATAAAGAAAAAATTATATGACAAAATAGCTAAAATGATTCTCTTCAGTAACTTCAGGCAATACAGTTAGAAGTAGCTACAACCTTACTTTTTCGTATTATTACACAATTCAGCGTATGAAATCAAAAGTTACGCGTTTGATGAAAAAATGGATGATAAGCCTGATAAGTCGAAAAACATAAATGGTGAAGAGTATTGGTTTTTTGTCGAATAGAGTATAGGTTTAATAGTTGTTTTAGTCTTTTTTTTGGAAATTTATATAAAAAGACACTTTTTTGTCCATAGCTCATTCTATTGTAAAAAAAAAAACCACAAAATTTTATCTAGAAAAATCGTTATATGATAGCACTCATGTAGAGCAATGTGATCGACCTTCTGCATACCCTAGTGTATATGAGAGTTCTAATGATATCTCATCTTAAAATGAGAGCAAATTTATGAATAAAAAATTAAATTTTCATCCTTCATGTTTCTAATCAATAATAAATTAAAAGGATGCCATTTTTATGTTAAACGGAGTAATACACAAATTATAATAAATTACTCTTTTAAATTGAGAATAGTTACAAAAAAGACATTATGTGTATGATAACCATTGCTTAGAAATATAAAATATTGTTATTTTAAGATGAATATACACATACACGTATGATTAAAAAAAATCTTTTCCGCGTAAAAAATAAGATTGAAATGTGCATCAATGCATGAAATTAATAAGTTATAACTTAATAGCTCTATATATGTGCTAATGATGTATTAACTTGGATAAAAAATACAACGATTATTTCATAAATGTAAAAGAAAACTTCATTTCAAACAGGGTATGGTCACCATGATATAGTTCACCTTATATGGTCAAAAGTGCAATGGGTCACACTTTCTCACTATCTATGAGGGACTGAAGTACCGGAATATATATATATATATATATATATATATATATATATATATAGTGGTCTTCATGTCAGGCCGGCCTGACGGGATGCTCCGTCCGGCCGAGCCCGTTTGGGCACCTTCCCGGTGGAATTTTTTGATGAAAGTTTTTGAGCATGTTACTTATCAAGTCTAGTTTGTCCATACCAAATGCCAACTCAAAATTCGATCCGGAAGGCATTCAAATCATTTTTTGAAGTTGACTGCGTAAAAATATACATATTAAACTGCAGTCAACTTCAAAAAATTATTTGAATGCCTTCCCGATCGAATTTTGAGCTGAAATTTGGTATGGACAAACTAGACTTGATGAGGAACATGCTCAAAAAATTTCATCAAAAAATTCCATCGGGAAGGTGTCCAAACGGGCTCGGCCGGACGGAGCATCCGGTCAGGCCGGCCTGACATGAAGATTTGTCTATATATAGGAAGCGGTTTCTATAAGTAAATATTTTCAGAAGAGAAATGAGAATAAATATAATCTGAACCGTTTAATTGTACTTCGTATTATGTATATGACAATGAAAAGGCTAGTTGGCCTATATATATGGACCCAATATGCCTCTGCCCGTGAATTATATGGTAGAACCGGCTCTACCATGCGCACTGTAAATTAAGTATTTTAGATTATACTTAATGAGTATATAGTTTAAATGAAATGAGTATTAGTATTAAATTATATAATTAGCACAATAAATATTTTTTATGATAATACAATGATAATATAGACATATAGTTAAATGAATGAGTTGATTTGTAGCATATATCATGTGTATATCATAATATTCTATTGCAAACTTCTATACTCAATTGTGCTACCAAAACAGTGATTTAATATTAATGCTCATTTCTTTTAATGATATACTCATTAGATATAAGATAGAATACCCGATTGTACGGTGAGCACTGTACAACCGGATGCTCACCGTACAACCGGGTGTACGGTATACGTAGTCCACACAGCCACCCCACAAATCTTGTGCAGAAGGTGTGATGTCCAGACACCCCCCAAAACAGCCTCCCTCTACTTCATCCCCCGATCACCTCAACTGCAGACCTAGTGCATAGAATTGAAGAATCGCACCCTCAAAATCCCCCCTTTTTTAAACCCGAGTACACATCATGGAATGCCTTCAGTAGCATTCTCTTCATAGGATATCCTAGCCTTAGCAAACGCTGTCTCGTTGGTTCAAAAGTTGGCCTCCAAAGCTGCAGTTTAGGTAACTCCCTTGGATACTAATAATACCGTGAGTGTTGGAAAAATTTCCGATGATTTTTTCAGTGAATTTAAAAGGTTGAAAAACGGAAATTCCATTAAAAAAGAGAGAGAAATTGAATTAATTAAAAAAATGGTTAGTCATTTTTTTTTAAAGAAAACAAGTTTAGAGAATATTTTTATGGGGTAATTTGAGTTTGCACCCCATTTTATTGTTCAAATTGGACTTTGCACCCCATTTTTTAAAATGTTTGTTTTTGCACCCCAACCCCATATGAAAAGACAAAATTGTCCTCGATCAAGGATATGTTGAAAGCCAACAAAATTGTTAATGGAGGGGCATTTTTGTCTTTTCATATGGGGTTGGGGTGCAAAAACAAAGATTTTAAAAAACGGGGTGCAAACTCCAATTTTCACAATAAAATGGGGTGCAAACTCAAATTACCCCTATTTTTATCCCCTTTTCCAACATTTTTTTGTTTAAAAAAAACATTTTATTCTAAATTGCTAATGAAAATGGCTTATGGATCAAAACAACTACTTCGTGTGAAGGGAGAATTTAATAAGGCGCGCTTAGCCCTTATCCCTAAATGAGTAAAGGGTCAGTTTGGTCCTCGAAGTTGCAAAAAAGGGTCAAATAAGTCCTTATATAGAAAATTCTATCCGGACGTGCCAAACTGACCCATTTTTGCAACTTCGAATAATTTGGCACGTCCAGACAGAATTTTCTATATAAGGACTTATTTGACCCCCTTTTTGCAACTTCGAGGACCAAACTGACCCTTATCCCGTTATTAAATACTGAAGAATGTTGGAAGACGGCCGGCCGTTTAAGTTGACCAAACTTTTTAGTAAAAGTACTCTCTGTAAACAACTGTGATACTACCTACTACTATTCTGAAAAATTAATGTGAAAAACCAAAATTAAGTTCGATGTAATCATAGATCATTGGGATTCAATGTCTCATTGTCATGATACACACACGCAATTAATAGGCCGGCCGGCCAGTCTTTTCAATGAACAAAAAACAACACACATTATATACGCAGTATAAATTTCCGCATAAGGACTCGTCACATGTTAAACTTGACAAGAAAAAATCTCAGGCCATATTCCCGAAGGAAGAAGAGAACTAGCTAGCTCCCTCATACAATAATTAATTAATACATTCTCACTGGTACTTCTCTTTCTTCCCCCAACTCCAAGCACACCCACCGTGTGTGTCTGTATTTCATTTTTGATCCCAACCTTTGCGTCTTCTACCTTGCAATCTCACATCAAGACAATGATAGACCTGTTCATGAGCCACTGCACCCACATTTCTTCTACAGTTCTCTTGTTTCTTTCATGACTTTTTGTATTGATTGCCCTAAGAAAACCTCTATAAAAAAACAAAAAGTTGGGTCCTTTATTTATTTACGAAGATATTGTAGCGGGAAGAGAACAAAAAATGAAGTCATGAATTACATGCTATGGAGTTATATTCTTATTACAAGAACACTTTTATAAATGTTCTTTTTTGTGGATCTGAGTAGGTGACACCGGAAGGTGCAGCGCTAACGCTACGATGGGTCTTGATTACTTCTTTTATTCACTTGTTTAGGAAGTTTTAGGTTTCTGGTATGATGTTGTGGCTCAATGGTTCTTGTTCTTGGCAAGTTTTTATTCTGGAGAGTGGATGCTTAGCCTTTTTCATTTTATTGCATTTTGGATAGAGCCTGATAAAGGAAACAGAGCTTGGTCAACTAAAATAAAAACAAAACTGCCCTTTTTAGCTGATGAACAAATATAGTTATTTGCATTAGCTTATAAACCATCTTTTACAACAATTAAAAAACATCTTTTACAGGGATCCATTAGCTTGGGGTAATGGGGTTTGAACATAATATTTCTCTGTAGAACATTACTGTTGTTGGAATTAAATAATCTGTAGGTAGAATATACTAATTTGTGTAGGTAAAAGTGATTTTGATTTTGCATGCTTTAAACTGAGCTGAATAAGCATTGATGGTTTGTGTGCTTTTTTTTGTGTGCTCATAGAGAGTATGCTTCAAGACAGTTTGAAATCGATTGTGTACAGATTGTTGCTCACATGCGATGATCCCAAAGGTGTTGTTGAATGTAAGATGATTAGTAGATCCAAGGATGAACCCTGGGGAGATAAGAGTGTAAAACAAGTGGTACATAACAAGGAAGAAATGGTCATCAGGCGGTATGAAGAAGCAGAAGAAGAGTTGAATTCGAGTTGGAGAGGAGCTCAGGATTTGAACCGGGTAATTGACTCATGGCCGGAAGGGGAAAGCTTTGACAGGCAGTCCAAAGATATTGCAAAAGACTTGCTGAAAGGAGCACTTGAATTGCAGGATTCTCTCCTTATGCTCGGGAAGTTGCAAGAAGCATCAAAATATCTGTCCAAGCTGAAGAAAATGCCAAACAAGAAAGTGCGAAAAGTTGGGAGGGATTGTTACGATGAGCTCCGGGAGGTGATTATGGAGAGCTTTGCTAGACAGAATTTGTTGCCAACCTCCACTGTCCAAAGGGTTTCTTTTGAAAGTAGAGAGTTTGAGTTGTTTCCAGATGTACCCTCCACTAGCTCAAGCCAATCAGCCCTTGAAAAGAATAGTTTTTATGGAAGAAGAACCGCTCTCACTGCTAATGATCTTCAACAGTTGCCCTCTATTGGCGCTCCTTTGCCAGAAGTCAAACAGTATAAGCCAAAGGGTCCAAACCTGATTGCCAAACTTATGGGTCTTGAACAAATTCCCCCAACTTTATATAATGATGGTTCAGGCAAGGACATGCTTTTCCATCAAAGGAGGCCTGTTTTTGAAATCGATTTGCCGAAGGCAAAGAAACCTCACATCGTCACCAATAAGGTTGATCCACGATGCAAAACTCTGGAAGAGATCATTGAAACAATGCAGTTTAAAGGGCTGTTGAAAAGTAGGTTTGTCGACGGATCAAAGCACGGAACTTGCGAGCACAACAGCACTGCAGACACCCCACAAATTGTGATTATGAAGCCCTGTTATGCCCCTCAAAAACATCAGGCAGTAAGGATTCCTACAAATACATCTCCCGTTTACAACACCGAGGAGAAGGTGGTTAGGAAAAGCAGTAGGGAAGGATTTTCTCCCGACACATGTGACACTCAGAAGCGAGTCGTAGATAAGGCATTCTATAAAAACCCGAGGGCAGAAAATGGTGCAATAAAGAAACCTATTCATAAAAAGGGAGCTAAGGAAAAACTGCCCCCTACTACGACTAAGGTGTGTGATCCCGCAAAGCCTAGGAAACAGAATAATAAAGAAGTTAACGAGAAGAAACTTGACAACATTCAGAAAGTAGGTCCTACTTATCTGAGAAAAAAAGAACGTATGAAAAATGTGAATGTTAAGTATGCAGATAAATCTAACAGCCAAACAAAACTCAGAAAAGAAGATGAGCCACATACGTCAGAAAAACAGCTTACATGGCAAAAGAGTAGCATCTCAAACCATACCAGGAAGAATATGAAAACAGACAAACCAGTACGAAATTCCTCTCTACCTACTGTGAATTCAAAATCCTTGTTTCAGATCAAGTTTTTTCTTTCTTTCAAAATTTCTCAATGACTTGCTCAAATCTTTTCCTTTTTCAATTACTACTTACTTTCCAACTGCTGTTGAAATTTACACCTTGGAGGAGTCTGGTGTTCAGATGTTATTGTGTAATGACACAACATTATCATTTTTATTATGACCTCACTGTGTTTTGTTTGTCCACGCCAGCTTGTACCGAAGCAGTTTGAGAATAAGGAGGAGAAGGATGTGAAAAATAGACTTATATCCAAGAAAAATACCTGCAAATATGACAAGAAAGCTGATCCTTCTGAAAAAGTCCATCTCCTCGAAGCTTCTGGTACTTGTGAGAATCACCTCAACGGTAAGGCCGTTAATCTGTCATTTTCTTAAACACTATATGAACAACTTAAAAGCAACCACTGTGGCACTGCTCATTCTCAGTTAATGAAGTGCTAAATGATTGAGCATAAAACCTTTCTCTAGTTTAACTAAAACACAGCCTATAAGTTTTTACATTCAGAAGAGAATATTGGCCATTATATTTGGATCTGGGATTCCATCTTAAGGTTACCTAGAATCTTTTAGAAGTAACTCGTAATCTTATATTTTAACTTGTTATTTTATATCAAATTGGCATGAGACAAATACTTCTAATATGGCCCTCAATTCATCGATCAGTATCAACTCGCCGGGGTCAAACAAACTTGAAACTGATCATCCTAAATCGGGAATGTCAATCAAACAACCAAATCACAACCAAATTTGACTCTAATATCATATTATACAAAACTTATGTTTGTGTGAAACAAATAATTCAAGAATAATTTGTTAATTAATAAACTTTGATACAGTGTTGCTTAGCTAGTAAACTTCAAATGTCTTCCAGTATGAGGTATCGGGTACTTTAGTAGTGTTTTGAGTTGAGATAATATCTTGCACATTCTACTCTACCTGTTTAATATCTTTAGTTGAAAGTCATGCTTATCTAATGCGATTATCTCTCTTTTGATTTCAGATGATCATATCACGAATGAAAGTGTTCCATGTGAACCCATTATGCTAACTGGGATTGAACATTTGAGAAGCTACGAAGATTTCTGTGGCAGAACCCTTTGTTTAAATAATCTGTATTCCTTAATAGAAAAAGATCTGTTTTGCAAGGGATGGTGGGATTTGGGTTGGAGTGAAGGGTTTAGTTCAGATGAAATAGTTGCTGACATAGAAAAGCAAATGCTGTGTGGTATGATTGAGGGCGCACTCGCAGATTTTGCCTCATAACTCCTGTGAAACTTACACCCAAAGTTGTGATTCCGTTACATCACATTCTCATTCATGCAATTGCCGAAGTACATATAAGGCTGCACCAGGCAGAGAAATAAGAATGAGAGCATGTTTGATAAACATTTGCTTGTATGAGTTTTATTCCAAGTTTAAGAAACCGGACTGGGAAGTGACCCGGCCACGTGATCGAGTCAACCTGGTCGACGCCATAAAACCAGTCAATCATATAATAATAGGCATATAATTGTATACAAAATTAAAATAAAAGGTAGTTATTATTTCTTAATAATATAATCAACTGATGATAATACTTACTAAACATTTTAAAGTTAAAACAATCTCATAATATTCCAAAACACCATTTTGATCTTATTAAAATATAAAATGATACTCCGTATTTATTATTTGTAATGCATTTTATTCTAAGACAAATAAGTACTCAGTAGTATATAAATATATTGCAATTTTTTTCTTTTTAGGGTATTGAAATTAGAATTTTATTGCTTGAAATGATTTAAAATTAAAAAAAAAAACTTTCTTGGAAAAATCAACTAAGCACCGGGTTTATCCCGATTTGTCGGGTTTTTCGGGTTCGGGTCTGGACCAGGTTTTTTCGGGTCAACCGGGTTTTTTTCAATTTTTTTACCATTCCGGGTACTGAACCCGATTTATAATAACGGTTCGGAACGGGACAAGACGTTGACCTTTTGTTGTCCCATTTAAATCGGTATCGAGACAAAACGGGGCGATTCGGGACATCCCGAAAAGGTGTAGTGAAAAAATTGCAATCCGAAAAATGAAGCAAAGCTATTTGAATAAAACTAGTGCAAAAAAACTCTTGACAAAAAAAACTGCAGCTAATCTAGAAAATTATGAGAAAAAATGCAACTTACTAGATTAGCTGCAAGAAACAAAGTCTGCAGGAAAAGAAACTCTAGCATAAAAAACAATCAAAAAAATGAAAAGAATACTATAAGAGGTGAAGCCTTTGGGAGTAAAAACCAATTTCTTTTTTGGATAGATGAGAGCTATGTTGCACTGATACTTCACCTCAATGCCGTATCCGCGTATTCGATACGTATCTGTATCCGACACTCACCGATACGCGTACTGTACGTATTGGGTCTGTATTCGTAATTTAATAAAAGTATCGGGCTTAATTTTAAAAATACCGATACTTCCGATACCCGTATCCGTGAACCGATACGCGTATCTGAACCTATAACCCCTCATTTGATACACGACATGACGAAAATTTAGTAGTCGCCCAAGCGACCACAACATGTGGAACATTGATAAAGATGGTTTCGGAAGTATGGAAAATAATGGAATACTATAATTTGTCATTCCATTGCTTGATGAGCTTGAATTGAAACAAGACTTGGATGTAAATGCAAATAGAGAACAAAAAAATGTTATTTGAATTTAAATCAAAATATCAATACTTTAGTTTTTTTAGACTAATCTTTGAAACTTTATTATAATAGTTAATTTTTTGTACTATTATTATTTTATTTATGAACTCCTGAATTATATATATTTGCAAATTATATCCTATAATTTTTGAAAGTGCCGTATCGCCGTACCCGTATCCGCGTATCGGCGTATCCGTATCCGTGCAACATAGGATGAGAGTTCATAGTTCATACTAGGTAGTTTGTAGTTTTTTAGGTATTTTGTTGTTAAACAAATAGTATCTTAATAATTATTGGTATTTGGGTTGTGAAAAAGGAATATTTATTATTATTTGAATTACATAATGACCGGGTTGTTGGTATACCTCACTAACACCTACTACAGAGTACAATTTTGGATTCGGGGCAACAGGACGAAACAAGATATATTTTACTTGTCCCGGTTCAGTTTTGTTTTGAAACGGTTCAGAACCGGTACGAGACAAAAATAATGTATCCCAAATATAATTGGACAATTTCGGAACGGAACCGGAACATTCCGGAACGGTCCAACGTACGGGACCGGGTCTTTTGCCCACCTCTACTGACGCCTATTAGGGTGTCCAGCGCCGGTTTGAGAGTAAATTCCTCAAATATTACATTGAAACGGCGCATGTTGGGTGTGGGACCGGCGCCATGTCGGGTACGATATTTGCAACACCGGAAATAATACACGTGACCGGCACTGGTTAATAGCAAATCTGGCGCTGGGTTCTTCTAGGAATTTCGAGAACGTATAGTGACGAATTTGGACATGATTCCTTGACCAAAGTTGTAGATTAAGAAGTCTTCTATCCCTCAAAACTTGAATAATTTGATTTGAATCATCCAATCAAAAGATATGGATAAAATCATTAGAGGTATACATCTTAAAATCTCACCACCAACATTGAATTTATCAGTTGACTTGGTCTTGATCCTTTCATATTCTGACCATGACATCTTCACAACATTTGGATTATCTAGTCGAGTTATAGTTCACATGAAGTTTTCTTGGAGTCAGTTGGAGTTTCTCTACACTAAGTCACTAAGTTATACTCAACTTATGGCAGAACGTCATCTGTTTGATCCAAAAAACCGTTCATCGCAATATTTTATGTTATAGCTCTCACTAGATTTTTCACCCGTGCGTTGCACGGATGCATTTCCATATTGGGGTGTTTGGAAAATAGCATTTGAGCCAAAATGGTGGTTTGACTTCTTTTAGCGTTTTCAGTAAGTAAGAGTGTTTTTTTGGTAAATAACTGTTCGGCCTTAGCTTTTTATGTGGTTCCGCTGAAATGAAAAACGCTGCAAATAGAAAAGTTTTGAGTTAGCGTTTTAAAATGTAGCGTTTTCTACTAATTATTGTGACCAAATAGCTAAATTATCAAACATCTGTTGGCAACTCGTCAACTTATTACGCTAATCAAAACCGCTTACTGAATCTGCTATTGATAACCCGCTAACATAATTTGTTATCGTTTAACTGCTAAATGTCAAATGCACCATTATGTTTTTAAACATTTAAATTCATATGAATAGTTGTATTTATGCAAACAAATTGGTGTTGACCACTTAGCAAATAAGTTGAAGTCCATTGGTTAGTCATTCACTTGCGTAATCCCATGGAGGTTTTAACATTTTTTAATTGGACTAAATTTTTTTATAATCTAGTCCAATCCAGTCTGTTTAAATACTATCTGATCTAAAAGATGTTTGGTCTTTATGTAATTCATAACTATCCAGTCCTAGTAATAACATCACTTACTCTCAAAATCTTAACATGAAAAGTTTTCGTAGTAAAACGTTGACAGTGAAAAATAATTGATTTTTCAATTAATCTCATTGCTTTTCAATACTACATATAATGATATTTTGCCTTGAAATCAAACAATTCACATTCTTCTCTACCAAATTTAAACATTCAATCTGGTTCTATTTGTTAAATATGTGTTTTCTTTCCATAAACAATATCATATACGTAGTAGATAACAACTGGTCCAACACAATTTCGAGTAGGCATGGACCGGTTCCGGGCCGGGCTCCGGGCCGGTCCAAACCGGGCTTTTATTTTTTGGGGGCGGGCCCGGAACCGGCCAGGTTTGCAACCGGGTCCGGGCTGGTTAATTTGTTTTTTTTTGCTTTTCTAATTAACCCCCACCCCCCACCCCCAAACACCTAGCCCAACCCGGAAAGAAAAAATTAAATAGGCCCGAACCGACGGCCGGGCCAGTTTCAAAGGAAGGGTAGGCCGGGGAACCGGATCACTCTAACACACCGGGCCAATCCTAGGCCCAGTTCCTAGGCCGGTTCATCGGGCCATTCCTAGGCTGGTTCACCGGGCCGGTCCAAGCCCGCACAGTGGCGGGTCGGGCCGGTTCCCGGGCCGGGTCGGGTCGACCGGAACCGGTCCATGCCTAATCTCGAGTGCGATTTTCAAATCTTTTAAGTTTTAAAAGAGATTTGAACTCATTATTCACAAACACATGCAAAGCACCAATTCATTAAAAAGATGTTTTGCAAGCAATTTGAAATATATTTCATATTATTGTTGTTTTGCTCTTCTTGTATATGAATTGCACCCTAGTCATGCTTACAAATGATAAATGTACAACATAAAAAGTATACATATGGAGCATTAAAGGAAAAACTCAACTTATGGAACCATGTCTTTTTACACCATATGAAGCCAACTTATGACTCTATTCATGGAGTGTAGGACTGCATTTCATGAATGAAGCTTCAGCATAACAGATGAAAACTACAATTGTTAATTTGTTATGGCTCATGGCAACTCCAAAGACGAAGTTCGAGGATGAAATCCTATAAAAAATAATTAAAAGCGTTTACAAAACCCTATGAAAATAACCAAACCATATATTATTAAAAACAATATTATTGATCCATTTAGTAAAAATAACTAAAACTCAGATCTCAATGAAATAGTTCTTTGTGAGCTTGAAGTAGCCTCTTTTCCATGTTGTGCTTGGCTTGGAAAAAAGCTCTTAATGATCGCGACTTTGTCTCAGTTACTGAATGACAAAGATTCGAGTATGAAGTGGCTAACTAATTGAAAGATTGTGCATCAGGGTAATCACTGTGACATAAAAAATACACAAGTTAGGAGAAAACTGGTAAGTTCGTTGATGTTATGGAATTCTGGGAAAATAATGGAATACAACTCACAAAAAAAGAATTGTAATTAAAGTAAAAAAAAAAGAATTGTAATTGGACTGTGAATTGCTACTTATGAACAATGAGCCTCTCTGGCTAATTAGCCTTCTATTTCTAAACTGTAGTTTAAACCATCATCTGCAGAAATTAGAAAATCGTAAGTCCCATTTCATTAGAATTGAAAGAAACCAAATAAAACTTTAATCGGAAAAAAAAACCAACAAATTCCAAAAAAAACTTACAAATATACTCCTATCCCTATAACAAAAGTAAAAGTGTGGACAAATTTAGTTCTAGTTAATGAAATAGGAAACATTTAGACATTGCAAAACCATAGAAGATGCATCATCTAACCTACTCTAAAAGAAATACTTAAGAGATATACTCCTATCCTTATAACAAAGAGCCATATATGTATAGATTTATAGCAAAAAGAGATATACTCCTATCCTTATAACAAAGAGCCATATATGTATAGATTTATAGCAAAAAGTGAAGTGTTTTTCACCAATTCAGCAAACTTATTTGAACTAACTTCATTTCAGTCAATTTTCATAATTAAAGAACCCAGTGAAGGAGTAGCACCCAAATATAAACCAAGCATCCCTCGTGAATGGAATCTGCGAAAGCAAAATCTGAAAATTAAAAATATCATATACTTTGTATCCGTTAAGTGCAACTTTAAGCAATTATCACTATAGTTTGATACCTTTGAATAAGAAAATACAAATT